CTCCCGTTTGAGTCTCCGTGTTGGCCCTTCTGAAGCGGAGTCACAAACCGGCTAGAAGGTGGTGACGAAGACGCGTAGGTGTCTTACTCCTTTCCTAGAAAATTCTTCATACTTGTGAACCAAAAGTGTGGATCCGTGGCTGTTTCACAGGAGCATTTGGCAGGGAATGAATTACTGAGAATTGGGGCCTTTCCGGCCTCAGGGACCCTAGGAACGACTACGTTTTTCTCCCTTCAGAGAGCCCCCTCAGAGCCCGTTCCTCTGTGGAAAGCACCTGAGTCCCGTCCTGGGTTAGAATCACTTGTTCCCTGCCCCCAAGACGCGGGACGCGGGCGTTGGGGGAATTGAGCCGCCGAGACCTTCCCAGTCTCCCCCCCCCCCCCCCCCCCCCCCCCCCCCCCTAGACTGTGCTTGCTTTGCAGATACGCCCTTAACTTGTGAAGGAAACGGGGATTGCTTGGCCGGCTTGGCAAGCCCAGTGACAGAAAGTAACCACACAGGATGGTTTCATGATAAATTCCTGACTGGGTAGGTCACGGTGGATAGTCCTGTCCCAGTCCTACAGCTTCCTTAGCAAAGGTCAATCTTGAAGTGAGCCCTGCCCATTGTTCTTATGCAGCTAAGATAACAACTTGGAAATGTCAGGGTAATTTTCTCATTCAGACCTCTGGAAAGCCCGACCTGCAGCACCGGAACACGAGACCACAAAACTCACTGTTATTTTGTTGCCTGCACACCATATCTATGTACTGTAATTATCCTCTACCCATCCATGTAAAAGACGTGTGTGCTTTCCCGTTTTTGTTTTTTATCCAATCTTAGACGTTTCCCTCCTTTGCCTTCCCTGCTTTGATTTCTCCTGCTTCCTTAAAGTACCACCAGTGGATTTCATGTAACCTTCCTTTGATTCTAAATGTATAAAATTAGCTGCAAAACGGCCACTCTCCAGAGCATTTTCTCAATTCGTTGAGATTCTGTTTCTAGGCATGTTTTCCAAAATGTGGCTCAAATTCATATAAACGTTTTCTATAGGTTTAGACATGCTTTTGTTGACATACAAATATCCTGAATTTCTAGCTAGACTTGTTGCCCTTGAACTCAGAAATGTAGGAGCACCACTTCTTCCTCCGGGTCACTGCAAGTTGCTAAGCTGCTGCCTATTTTTTTAAAAAATATATTTTATTGATTTCTTACAGGGAGGAAGGGAGAGAGATAGAGAGTTAGAAACATCGATCAGCTGCCTCCTGCACACCTCCCACTGGGTATGTGCCCACAACCAAGGTACATGCCCTTGACTGGAATCGAACCCGGGACCTTTCAGTCCGCAGGCTGACGCTCTATCCACGGAGCCAAACCGGCTAGGGCACCTGCTGCCTATTTTGTTCCTTCTGGTAGTTTATGAGTTTGATCCTAATGCTTGGTTGTAAGGTGATGTTCACAAAAGTGACTTGTCAGTTTCCCAATCTCAGAGTCTCAATATGTTCTCTGGGGTTAATTTAGTTGATCATGGAGCACTAATGCACTGGAAGTAACTGGTTTTACTTTGTCCCATGGCTACAAAGTCTTTGGTCATAGGAAGATTGAGAGTGGAACAAACATTTTAACTAATCACCCACTCCCAGAAACATCTTTGCAAAGGAAGGACAGCACATGGAAGCAAGGATTCCTATGTCTGCAAGTTAAATGAACCAATTAGAAGTATGTAGAGTTGGTACCCAGACTCAAAATACCAAGTGTTTTATTTAGAGCCCAAACTCTTTACAAAGGATAGTTCCTTCTTTGAAGGAGTTTATAATTGCGTAGATGAACACAAATCAATGATACCAGATTCTTTATAATACATGACAAGAAAAGAAATAGCCTCAGAAAAGTAACTGAGACATTCAATTTTAATCTCTGGTTCTATCTTTTTTTTTTCACAGCAATTGTTTATTTTTCAATTTCCATTTACATTCCATATTATTTTCTATTAGTTTCAGAGGTACAACATTGTGGTTAGACACTCATATACTTGACAAAGTGTTCCCCCTGATATTTCCAGTGCCCACCTGGCACCAGACATAGTTTTTTTTTAATTTATTGTCTAAAGTTTTATATAT